TTTACAATAATACGTAAAAATACTAAAATTATCATGATACTGTTCAAGAGCATTGTTTTATTCATTTTTCTCAATTCATTTGTCCGAACAGAAAATATAAAAAATTGCTATCTTTCCAGGTACATGCTTTATATTTTATTTTTAAATGGAATATAATATTTTTATGTGAATTTTGAAAATTACGATGACAAATTGTCATGAACTCTAAGCATATTGACTTACAATAAGATAATTTCTTATTATTAAAAATTAGGATCTATATAAAAATAAAATGTCTTAATTTCTTAATATTTTTTACTATTGCCAATTGTGGAGATAATTAAAATGAAAATAAAAATAAAATTTCTAAAAAAAAATGTATTTATTTTTATATTTTCCAAAAATGTCAAATTCTTTATTGTTTATTGCTTACTTTAACTAGATAAACAATACAAAATCTTTATATTCCATAACAAATGTTAGTGCATAGAGCCATAACAAATAATTGCTTTCTTCTAAATTAGGTTTATCATTGTCGTTTAAGCTAGTCGTTACATTTACCTTATTCACTATTTTACCATACAACTATTTAAGAAGTTGGTTTTATTTGTTTTCTGTAATTTAAATTATTAAAACAAAAATCATTATATTATTATTTTCAGGCACATGCTTTTTGTTTTCAAATTCTATGAATTTGACTTTGATTTGAGATTCAAAAATAGCAAAGAAGACTCTTCGACTTTGGAAGAACTTAAAAAGTATGATGATTCGTTACGAGCTCAAGGCGAGAACGTTTTGGGGATTCTCGATGACCTAATGGCGGAAAACTACCAAAAATCAACCAATCGGCCTGAGGACATGATGTTAATCAATTTATACTTAAATAACGTTTTTGGTACATTATTGGTACGAACCTACGACGGGAAAGATATAGTGCCGAACAGCCCGCATGTAAAGGTAAAATCTTATAGTATGGAATTCAAAAAGTCTGTTGAAAACTTACTGCCAGAGAATGAGGATAGTCAAAAAAATTCACATGAAAATAATCTACTTTCATGTATGTCTTCATTATTAAATAAGGTCTGTAAAAGAAAGCCTAAATTATCTAAAACGAGTGAAAAGGTGAATTGCCCGTCAAACAGCAAAGGTCTGACGTCAAATAGTCAAAAAATACCGTCAAACAGTCAAGAAGAACCGTCAAACCGCCCGAATGAAACAGTAATACCTTATAAAAATGAATTCAAAAAGTCCATTGGAAAAATAAATGATATTTTACACGAGAGAATCCTTGAGAATTGCGCAACGTTCGCCCTGGGTATTCATTATTTGTCAATCGCAATGCGAGATCTATCAAATAAAAGCGAAGAGTACGATCAATATAACGATTTACTACCGTCAGAGAGTACTGTGGAAGATTTAATACGCGCTAATGACTATAATTTCAACGTTGAAAGCTCATTTCCCCAATTACTCACGAACGCATTTCAAGAAAGCGATTCTAAGATGAAGGATTTGGTAAAGCCCATCTTGGATAGAAATACGTACATGCAGAACCATCCGAGACAAATTTTATTCTACGATCTGTTGTATCGAGGCGAACACGATATCGATCAAGTGGGCTCGCCAAAAGACAGCGAATCTGATGATTTGGCTTTGCTTCGTAACGTCACTTTAGCGACAAGATTGGAAGACGGCACTCATCCCAACATACAGCTATTGTTTTCGATAGCACTGCGGTTTTTCGACGTCAAATGTATTGAGTCGTTCCAACAGCAAGTGCTGGCAGCAACGGCCCATCCCGTGTTCTCAGTCATCGGTTCTTACGTGTATTTGGTCAAAGATATATTTTACAAGGGTAACGGAAAATTTCAAGACGTCGCTACGAGGGCCAAGTTGTTCCAAGAGACAGTCGACAATTTGGGCAATTCCATATTGACTACGCTGGTCGGTTTCATACAATTAGGTCTTTATCCAAATAAACCTTTAGGGTGTTTAAAAAAAACCCAGCGGTTACTGGTCAAATTAATCACGTACAGCGATAAGGCAAACTTACAGAAGGACACACCACAATTGATTTATGATTTGTGTACTAGTTGTTCCTATCCAATGAGGATTAACAAACTGATAGTGTCGTATACGCGGGAGCTTAATAACGTAGATTCTAAAGAAAATTGCAACAATTCCATAAATGCGGTAAAAAGGAAAGCCGATATGGTCGAGAAATACGTGAAAACTTTGGAAAAATACGAAAACATCTACAAAGGGGTTATTAATAGTCAGTTCTTTTTTCATGAAGACATATTTTCGCACAAACCGGAATGTGACATTATAGAAGAAACAAAATATGGTATACTCACATTTATGGATATACTGTCATGTCAACTAGTTAATATACTTTTTTCGTTTTTCTCAAAAATACAATTTTTCTAAGATAATTTTGAAAAACTCAATTTTTAGGCATTTATATTTAACTTTTATTTAGTTATAGTATATATTCTTTACGCGCCATTCAGTTTTTATGATTTTTTTTCCTGTTTTTTTACGTTACCATTTTTTTAGTCATTACCACACCACCCAACTCTTTCTAATTTGAAATAATAACTTTCATTTAATAACACTAGTTTTATTTTAGGCGTTGCGGTATATTATTTTTATATACATTTTTATTATTTTCTTACTTTTATTTTAGGGTATAACATACTTGGGAAGCAGACCTAAAGTCAAAACATATCAAGAAAGAAATTTGCTAAATGCTAAAATTTGTTTGAATACACATTATTGTAATTTCATCTCTTAGAAGATAACCTCTTTTAAACTTTATTATTATACATTATGTTTTTGATGATTGAAGAGATTTAAAAATGTGTGCAAATTATATTACTTTTAACACGATTTATTATTATAATTTTTCATTATATTTTATGCACTTGTAAGGGTTATTGGGTGAACTTTTTTTTAAAAATAAATCAATCTTGAAAAAGAAGTACTAATATTTTTACCGATAGTATTACGCTTTGAAATCATATGGTAAGCAAACATTTTAATTCGGCCATAGAATCAAAAGCCTTACATTGAATTTTGAGCTTTACACTTAAATTTTTATTGATAGGGTTTTAACACATGGAGTATGGCAATATATTGATACAACGCTTTGATGCTAATTTGTTAACACATCTAAATTGAATACTTTCTTACTGTGCTGGTATATACTTGGCTTGGTTTGACTGATTCGCATCAAGCTCTTATTTGATCCGACTTCAGATTGTATAGCAAATATTTTAATTCGGCCACAAAGCAAAAGCCAAACATTGATTTTTTAAGCGTTACAATTAAGTTTTAATTTATATGGTTATAACAATCGGAGTATGGCAATTTATTAATACAAAAATATATCAATTTCGGTCTAAATTTTAACTAAATGTTTACAATGTTTGCTAATTGTATACGATTTAGACACATGCTCCTTTCAGGTCAATGAATTGCTCTCCATAGTAAACAATGTTTAGTAATTGTCCCATTCGGTCCCCTAACTATGCCCTGACCCCACATCACTGGTTTATGTTCTATATTCATTTAAAATATTTTGAACAGATTTTATGGATTTCCTTATCGGTAATATTTATTAATTTAGTTCTATTGTGTTTTAAAAACTATTTATTAAAACAAGAAAAGAATATGTTTTGTGTTGAATTATTCAAACCATGAACATAGTATATATACAAAATTAACATATTTTAGCGCATATTTTACAATTGTGGTGTAAAAAATAAAATTCAGCAAAATTTCAGGTGCAGAATTTTAAAGTAACTACATTATTTTTACAAAATACGGTCTGATACAAAAACAAATAATATATAGGTACCGCTTAACGGTGTTTTTTAATGTTCTTATAAATTCTTAAAAATATATGTTTAGGCTTTACTTTTGGTGTCAACACCTTTTCGTCGTTTTGGGTTAGTCAAATATATGCACAACACATGTAGTATTCTACGCCAAATCTTGCACCGTAATTTGAATTTTTTATCTCGATGTGAACAAAAAAAAAAAAAAGTAGTACAGTCAGTACCGGAATACTATTTATTTTAAATTTAAAAATGTACTTGCATGTAGTTGTATAGAGTTTACTAAAATATTTCCGAGGCATTCCTAGTAAATGTTTGATAAAAATGTCAACTCGATCAGACCATTTTTCACAAATTTATAGCAAATAAATTGAAAAATAAAAAAATTGCATTAATTTTATGTAGGGGGGGGGGTTATCACACAATGCTCCGTTCTCACTATGCCCCGACACCTTTGTACTGGTATTTTCTATACTTTAGTCAAACAAGCTTATTATAAGTAAGAGAATGAAAACAGAAAAATGTGATTTTTGAACCGATAATACAAAAACCAAGCTATGTAGATATTAAGAAAGACGATAAAATTCTATGTTTCTGCAGTCGATAAAAAAAAAATAGCATAACATGCATTCTCAAATTAATATACGGATTTCTATAAGATATTCAAAAATCAGTCTTCCTTAAACCTGGTTACCGGACCAACACAAATTACACATGACCTTAAAATGTCATTGTATGCTGAATTCGAATAATGTTCTACGTAGGTCGTTTAAGAAGAGTAGTTAATTAACATGTATAATTGTTTTATAATATAATACATTAAAAAATCTGTATTGGGATTGGTAATTTTCAAAATATGCAACATAGTTATGGTTGCATACTCAAGAGTTATATCATTTAAAGGTACAACCACCAGCTTAGCCCCTCGGGCGATATATATATATATATATATATATATATATATATATATATATATATAAATCTATAAGGGGGACCTAACCTAGCCCTTCTCAGCTGTCGTAAGTTAAACAGTGTGTGGTGTTGTTTTACATTGTTGTATTTGTATGATATCTCAAAATACTCATACAAAACAAACAAATTGCAAAAAAAACATTTTTTACAATCAAGTACGTACCTACCAAACTGTGTCAGTATAGTCTATGTTATAGTGTATGTTTCTTAAAGTTGTAAGTTGTTTTGTTGTTAAATTCAAAATATTACTTAAAAATACTATATTACCATGATTTTGTACAAGTGTTTAGTATTATTCGTTTTCATGATTTCCTTTGTCCGAACGGATAACGCGAAACCATGCTATTATTCCAGGTACATTTTTATTGTTATATTCTTGATCAAGGCAATACATTTTTTAATTTCTAAATAATATCTTCATATTACATACTACACCGAACTATAGTTAAGGATAGAGACTTAACTCACTTCTATAATATAACATTGTCGTTTTAAGCTAACCGTCATGGTTTACCACATTATTCATTATATTACCATGATATTATTCGAGAGTTTAGTTGTATTTGTTAAAACGAAAATCATTAAACATTGTATTTTTTCTAGGCACATGCTTTTTGTTTTCAAATACTATGAATTTAAATTCGATGGGCAATTCAAAAATTGCAAAGAAGATTCTTCGACTTTTGAAGAACTTAAAAAGTTTGGTGGTTCGTTATTAGCTCAAGGCCAGAACGTTATGGCGATTCTCGATGACCTGATGACGGAAAACTACCAAAAATCATCCAATCGGCCTGACGACATAATGGCGATCAATTTATACTTGAACAATGTTTTTTGTACATTAATGGTACGAACCTTCGACGGGAAGGATATAGTGTCAAACAAACCGCATGAAAAGGTAAAAGCTTATAGTAGGGAAATCAAAAAGTCCTTTGAAAAAATAATTATTAACTTACAAAACAGCATCGTTGAGAATTGCGGATCTTTCTCCCTGGACGAATCGTTAACGAGAATAATATCGCGAGACTCAAGATCTAAAAGTCAAGGTTACGATCATTTGAACGCATTATTACCGGAAATATCTACTATGAATAATATTTATTATAGATATGGGTATAATAATTACATTTTACCTCCACCAGGCCAATTATACTTGAACGCCTATAACGATAGCGTTTATGAGATGACGTATTTGGTGAAGCCGTTTTTTAACAGACAAACGTACATGCGATACAGCCCGAATAAAATTTTATTGTTCGATCTGTTGTATCGAGGCGAACACGATACCGACCAAGAAAGCAAACCCGACGATTTGGCACTGCTTCGAAACGTTACTTTAGCGACAAGATTGGAAGAAGGCACGTATCCCAACATAGACCTGTTGTTTTCGATAGCACAGCGGGTTTTCAACGTCAAATGTGTGGAGTCGTTCCAACAGCAAGTGTTGGTAGCAACGGCTCAGCCCGTGTTGTCGGTCGTCGGTTCGTACTTATGTTTGGTCAAACAAATGTTTTACACGGGTGACGGAAAACTTCTAGACATTGCCACTAGAGCCACGTTGTTCGAAGAGAGAATCAACGATCTGGGCGATTTCGTATTGAACGTTTTCGTCGGTTTCATACGTTTGGGCCTTTATCTGGAAAAGGATTTAGATTATTTAAAAAAAACCGCACTGGGACTGGACGACTTAGTCAAGCACAACGATAAAAAAAACATGCAGGTTGGTGCAGAATGGATCGGTCAAATATTTAGGCGTTGTTCCAATCCAATGTCGCTTAACTATCTGACAGAGTTGAATGAAGAGGAATTCGTCAACGTCAACTCCGCAGAAAATTACAACAATGCGATAAACACGTTAATAATGAAAGCCGGTTTGGTCGGGAATTACGTGACTACTTTGGACAAATACAAAAACATCTATCAAGAGGTAGTTTTCGAGAACCCGTTCTTTTTTCACGACTACATGTTTTTGTACAGACCGGAATGTGACATCATAAAAGATACGAGACATGGTAAATTCACATATATTAATACACTGGCATGTCAACTGTAATGGCGCTGGTGAACATAAATTTATAGTAATTCTCAAAAATAATAATTGCTCTTAATTTTTCGCCATTTTTTCCAAATTTTTTTTTAAAACTCCATTTTTTTTGGAAATTATCTAATTTTTTTTTAGTAAAAGTATATTTTTTTTCTCTCACCGCCCAACTTACTCTACTCGAAAATAATAACCCCTTACTTTGGTATAGTAACACCAATGTATTACTTTAAGCGTCGCAAGATATCCATTCTTTTTTTCATTATTGTATTGAATATTTACATCTATACAATATGCACAACAGTAAAAAATGAATAAATAGTATAACATGAAGTGGGGGGACACCCAATGGTGCTACCTACATTGATTTTTGAGTTTTTGTTTATTTAATTGTTTATAGGTGGTCTCTGCATCATTTTATTTTTAATCTTCTTGGCGGGTTATCTGGGATATGACTAGAAGATAGGTAGTTTATATTAGGAATGGTCTGAGAGTTGAATTTTATATGAAGGTTTTTGTAGGCAGTTTTTGCGATCTTGTTTACATAGTTAATTTGTAGATCAGAATGAAGGGTTTTATTTGAAATATACCAAGGGGAATTAGTTAGTGTGCCTAGGAAAATGAATTGAAATTACTGGAGTTTTTGGATGTTAGATGGACCGGCACAGCCCCAGGTTTGGGTACCTTAATAACATAGGGGAAAGAGAAGAGTTTTGTAGATGAGTGTCTTGAGTTTCAGATTAAGTTTGGAACGTAAAAAGAGGGCGAAATAGATGAAGTCTCGTGTTTTATTGTTTTCTTTTTTCAGTTATACGATCTTGCCAGGTCAGGCGTTTGTCAAAAATGAGGCCTAAGTATTCTACTTGGTTAGTTTGGGGGAGTAGAGTGTTGTAGAGTTTGACTGACGAGCAGTTATGTGGCCGAAGAGAAAAGGTGTTGTGATTAGATTTGCTTGTAGTAATTTCAATTTTCCATTTAGTAAATCATTTTTCCAAAAGATTGGGGTGGTGTTGGGAGTTTAAAATTTGTAATAAAGGAATCAGCGTCAGATGCTAGCATACTTATACCGTCGGTAAATAGATTTGCTAGGATATTTAGAGGGGGGTATAGAATCAGTTACTGAGCTTTGTATATTGTAAGTTAATTACAGTACAGCTTTTTAAATATCATGCGTGTTCTTTAATGGAATATTAAGTCTAGTTTTGCTGTCTAGGACGAGTTTGATTTTTTTCAAGAGATTAGGCCTTCAATGAGACTTGATTTTTTGTTGAGAGGGGAGATTGAATTTAAAGAAAGTAATACAGTTAAGTGAGGTTCGATATTAGTATCGATTGACTTGGTGTTTGCGTAAGTGTTATGGTGTATCCTAATGAAAGGCTGAGAGGTAGACCATTGGGTTTTTAAAGGGGGAAGTTTTTTTCTTGATTGAAGTTGGCATTGATCGGGAGTCGAATTGTATAAGTGAATTTCAGTTAACTTGCTGATTTTCGGTAGATATTTTGGTTTGTTGGAGATGGCTCCAAGTCTATAAAGAATATGGGGGGTGGAGTTTTGGTTTTATACTGAACACAGTTTTTAATTGTTCGTACAGTGAAACCAAAAGCTTGGAGCTCTTCTTTGATAAAATTGATTGGTATGGTATGGTGAAGGTGTCGAATTACTCTTGTCTACTCACTAGGAGTGCACACCTTAAATCGCGCGTAAATTATTAATGTATTAATTCTTACAATTGTCTTACTCTTATTTTAGGATATGACGAAATTGGGTATAGCGTACTAAAGGAGAGCAAACCTAAAGTATAATGGACCATCAACCAAGTTTGCTGGATGGTTAAGTTTATTTGAATACACATTATAATATGTTCAACAGTTATGAGTTAACCTCCTTTAAATGTTAATAATTTATATGTTATGGGTGTTTTAAAAGTTTTAAAAATTTAAGCAAATACTATTCTATTAAATATGTTATATAATTATACTTTATTATTTTATTTTATGCCCTTGTAAGGGTTGTTGGGTGAAGTTTTTTGAAAAAAAATAACATATGAAAAATAATGTATTCTACAAACAGTATTTTTAATTTTGGTATATTACTTCAGTCAAACAAAATCAGAAAAAATTATATCCGAATAAAAACGATTTCAATGTTAGGTCAGGATTGGACAAAAAACGAGATATTATTTTAAAGTAAAAAATAATCCTTAATGAATCTCGAAGACTTATGTCGGGAAGTGAATTGCGATCTGAGTAATATGTGCATCTTTCCTAAATTACACACAATAGAACTATTTATTTAAAATTGATTATCAACTAGTCAAAATTTTAAGGACATTTTTCTCAAATCTAAGAGCTTATAAAATAAACACGTTACCAATAAAATTTCAAAAGATGATAAGGTTCTATAAGATACTAAAAAAAATTTGAATATGATCTAATATAGCATAAACAAATGTGTTTTAAAAATATGCAATATTTTTAATATTGCATTTCAAAAATGTTTTTAAAAGTTAATAATAAATTCCACATAAAAGGTGAGTGCGGTAGGGAACAGGATGCAAACCATTTGTTTGCATGTCCACTACTACTAGTGTAGAAAGGAAGACTTTTTGAAAAATGAAATTTCAGACAAGGCAATACAAATCGCTGCTTACTGGGAAGGGAATGGAATATGAAGACCAACACGACAAGAAGAAGACTAACTTTATATATTTTATTCAATTATTTTTAGAGTACATTTTTTTTATCTATTCCCTAAATAATAATGTTGACTACTTTTTGTCTATATCTAACTTTAAATTCGTTGGATTGATTTAATTTATCAGCAATTCTTCAAATCAGTAATAATTCTGTTTAGCTTGCGCTTTGGAGAGGGGGGTGCAAAATTGAAAATATTTCTTTTCGTCAACAGTGTGAAAAACAGTGGCAACGGTACTATTAGATTTTGTATATGGATCCTATTTTGTAAAAAAAATTGTATCGCCATTTAAATTTGGCTTTTGAAATTTTGCTGAATTGTAGTTTTTATACCAAAATTGTATTGTATGCGATAAAGTATGTTGTTTTTGGATATTCATTTTGTTTGTTGCACGCATCTATGTATGACCAACAGGTAACAGTTACATCTGTTTAAATAATTCAATACGAAAAATCATAACAAAACCTGTTTTTTCATTATTTCGATAAATATTTTTTAAAGCGCAATAAAAATAAAGTAGTAGTGTATAACATTGTAAACATTTAGTTAAAAATTAAACCAAAATTGGTACTGTGAATTTTCTTAAAAATCATTATGTGTATATAATATTAGCCCCCGTAGTTTTTCTGACTTAAAAAATTGTACTGAGCTAGTAATATATATAAGTTTTATATGGTCAAATTCCAAATTTCATACTTCTAATTTCCACTAAATCAGTCGATTCAAATGCTTATATTGCTTATAGTAAATTCAGACTTTAAAGATACAGTGAACGTGCACCTCCTGTTTGACATTTTTTTAAAAAAATGTATATAACAACTAGTAAAAATTAAAAAAAAAAAAGGAGCCGATACTCAGTGGCTATATCATTAATGAACAAGAACGCTGTATTGTTCACACCGCACACATTACTACACGATATTTGTAGTTAAATTTTTTTTATTAAACCGTATTAGATAATCGCTGAACTCGTAGATTGTTAATCAGGCGTCAAGCATCGGTTGCCAGTTTCCCAGCAAAAAAACGCGGGTGCCCGAGAGTTAAACAAGATAATAACAGGGTGATTTTTTTATCATGAACCACTCACTATCTCATAGCGTTTAATAAGAAATACAATTTTTTTGTGCATATTGTTTTTTTACAATGTTATCTCAATTGGCTTACAATTTTTTTTGTTTCCACCCCCCTCCCAACTTAATTTTTTTTCGATAGCAACTTTTGAAACTTAAATGGAAACGTATACATTTTATTAACTTTTTAAATTGAAAATAATGTACTAAAATTTTTGACTGGTCGATTACCAGTTTTGAATTTTTCAAGTTATAAGAGTTTTAAAGTTATGATGGGAGGGGAAGTGCGGTTGGGAAATGCGCGCAGATAAAAATAATACTACACTCTACCTTTCTTCCTGCCCTAAACTTAAAAACTTCAATAATGTGGCATTATATTTATTTCATAATATTATTGTTTTCTTTTATAAGAAAAAATTATAAAATAATTATATGGAAATAACGGGATTAAAACGGACCGTCTTTTAAAAACGGGATAATATAATATAATTTTTAACGGCTTAAATATTATAATATTGGTTTCTAGCTCGATCGATACACTTGGACTATTGTCCCATGGATAACCCGATCATAGAAAATATACTACTTGGATCCTGTGTGAACAAATTATTTAAAAAACGACCCTTAAGGAAGAACCGCGACTTTGGTTAACAGCCTATCAAGAAGTGATAAGTCCAATTTATATCTTTTCTAGAATAAGTATTAGTAGTAATATTAATTTATATATTTTACTAAGTATATGTATGTGTGTTTTGCGTTTATTATACTCTCTAAAGCCGAATGTCGTTTATACGGAAAATAAATAAATATAATTTTTTAGATCAAACTACACAAATTAATCTATAAGAGGATTAGCAATCATATGAACTTATAAACAGAAAAATAGTAGCTAGCATTCTCAAGTTTTTTTTGTTTTTCTTATTACTATGATTCATAGCTATGAGTTTTACAGTTATTTTTTGTTTTCCGTAGGTTTACCGAATATGTTTTTTTCTTGAAAACAGAAACCGAGATCTTACAAGCTCGAATGCAAGTTATAATGTTTTTTTGTTGTGTACGTATTATAAATGTGTTGTAAAATGTAAGCCCAAGTACAAATATTAGATTCAATCGGTTTTGTAGAAATAAATACCACAAATGATAAAGTTGTGTATGCTTAAACGTATATTTGTCTTTTTAATTTACTTTTGTAACAATACCGTAGATAGATTATACAAATTAAACCCCTTCCACATTTCACTATGACATTAATTATTTATTCTTATCCAAAAGTTGGGAGGTTGTCACTTGTCAACAGTTTGTGCCCCATCCCCAAATGCTAATAAATATCATTAACCGTTGACGGGTTTGACTCAAGCCGACTGTTCTTCGCTAAGTTACTGCAAGTCAAAATAGACGGTTAAAATCCCGAACAATTTTTTATTTGACTTTTTTCCATTTAAGGAGAATAAAGAGAAAGACTCTTTGTGCTTTGGGTACATCAAAGTACCAATCGCATAAATAAAAAAAAAATTATAAAAATATAACTACTATAAATTTTATTTCTTCATGGCTATCGCATTAAAGTTAAACAATGACTGTTGTGCAAAAAAATAATTTTTAATAGCCAACATAACTCATTTTTGTTTAACGTGTTATAATACTTTAATTGTTATTGGCAAACAGAACAAAAAAACAAGCACCGCTGCTTTGCAAACTGCGTCAGTATAGTTTATGTTGGAGGTTCTCTAAGTTATAACTTGTTTTGTTGTTCGTTTCATAATTTTAATTAAAACTACTATATTACCATGATATTGTACAAGAGTTTGGTTTTATTCGTTTTTATCAATTCATTTGTCCGACCGGAAAACTTGAAACGTTGCGGCTATGCGAGGTACATGGTCTTTGTTTTATATTTAGACGAAACGTAATATTTGTGTTTAAAGTTTACCAATTGCAATGCAAATTCCCTTATAGTTATAGAAAAAACTGAGGTACGTGTAAATTAGTTACGAACTCAAGACGATCTGTCTAACAATAACGTGATAAACATATGACCAATTAGGATGTTATTAAAATGTTAATTAACATAACATTTTTTAGTTTCTAAAAAAAATTACTCTATTTAGATTTTCTAAAAATTAAAAACTACTAACACTTTTTTATTTTAGCTTCGATGCTTCGACAACTGTTTTTTTTTAATTGCTGGAAAACTTTAATTTTGCAGATTGCGTATATTATAACAAAAACACCGAAAATCTTAAAAAAAAATTATTAAATAATTACAAGAATTTTATGTAGATCTATACAGAATGATTCTATTAAGTTTGAATACTCAAGTACCACTTTTAGCTTTATTATTTTCTTAAGTTTTTTTTTGCAGAATAAAAGTGAAAACTGATATTAAATTCGTAATCACCGACCCCAATTTGACCTCTTTTAAAGTCTTTTACACAAAAATCTAGAAAAACTACAAACACGGTGTACCAGACGTGAAAATCGAACAGACGCTAATAACTGTCGGTAGGTAACGTCGACCCGTGTGTGGTGTGAGAGATAATGTTTAATCGAACCGAAACGGTCGGTATCATAATATTGTGTTTATTACATGATATCACAGACGACTAAATCGTGTATCTGATTACAGTAGATACACGATTTATTGGGGAAAAAGCCGATCCGTCTACTTATTAAGACACTTAATCGTTCTGACACGGCGAAACCACCGTTATTTTATCACCCGCGGCCGATCGTACCAAAGGTCAACTATGAGTATATTATGTCCAACTACCTGCAAATTATGAAGAGGAAAACTGTTATTTCTTAGATCCAGATTAAGTGTTGGTTTTTATGCAGTCTACCGCCCCAAAATTCATTTTATATTACACACATCTTTTAAAGGAACACTAATGTTTTGCATATTGTTGTACTGTTATTCATTATAAAAGAGATTCACGCTCGTTTGTTTAAATTATCGAATATTTGATAATCTACTTTGTGCTAGTTCTAATATTTTAGTTTACCATGTTTTTTTACTAGTGTTTATTTGAAAGTGGTTTTATCCGAGAGGACTAGGTTACAGTAGATTATAGGCATAATGGGACGGAGAGGGGAAAGAGAGGTCACAGTTCTACAGAAATTATTATAAATCAAAGTGATAAAATTGAATAAAATCACTTTCAACTAAAAACTTTGATGCCTTTTTGAAAATACAGCACCTCAATTTAATACTTTCTAACTTTGCTGGTTTATACTGTGCTTGGTTTGGGCTGTACTGAAAAGTAATTTTATCACTTTCAGATTTAAAAACTCATCTAAACCCGTGACCTCCCCGTCCTCACTATGCCCCGACCACACTGTACTGGTTTTTTTTTTACTTCAATTAGATATATTGTACATTGTCTACGATTTTTGAACACTATACTACCACGATATTATTCAAGAGTTTAGTTTATTTGGTACGACGGATATAATGAAACATTGTTTTTATTTTAGGTACATGCTTTTTGTATTCAAATTACATGAATTTGATTTCGATTTGAATTTCAAAAATCGCAATGAACGTTCTGTGACTTTGGAAGAACTTAAAATGTTTGGTGATAGGTTACGAGTTCAAGGGCAAACCACTTTGGCGATTCTCGATGACCTGATGAGGGATAATAACCAAATATCATCCGATCGACCTGACGACATCATGGCTATCAATTTATACTTGAACAACCTTTCGAATACATTACAGGTACGAACCTACGGCTGGAGGATAGGAACAGTACAGCCGGCTAATAAGTATAATCGAGTACAAATATATAAAAATGAATTTGAGAAGGCCACTACAAGAATAATTCAATATTTAATAAAAAGTATTAAAGTGAATTGCACGTTTTTTGAAACAGAAGTTGAAATTTCTGATTATTTGTCACGCGGCTCGAATAAGCTAAAAAAAGGTTACTATGAACTCATCAAATTGTTGCCAAAATTTTCTTATTTGGGTCTCATTAACGCTAACCCCGATTATATCAAACTACACATGAACGATTATCAAGATAGCGTTTTGGAGATGAAGTATTTGATAAGGCCGATTTTAAACAATCAAACGTACACGCAATATCAACCGAAACAAATTTTATTCCACGATCTGTTGTTTCGAGACGAAAACTGTACCAACCGAAAAAACTGTGATAAAGAATGTGAACACGACGATTTGGAATTGCTGCGAAACGTCCAATGCAACGTAAAAATGGAAGACGGCAGTTATCCCAACATAGAGGTATTGTTTTCGATTGCACAGCGGGTTTTCGACGTCGAATGTGTTGAGTCGTTTCAACAGCAAGTGCTGGCTGCAACGGCACATCCCATGCTGTCAGTCGTCGGTTCCTACGTGTCTTTGGTCAAACATATATTCTACACGGGAGACGGAAAGTTTCAAGACGTCGCCACTAGGGCCGAGTTGTTCGAAGAGACAATCAGCGCCTTGGGCGATTCCATACTGACCAAGCTGGTCGGTTTCATCCGTTTAGGTCTTTGTCCGGATAGGGTTTTGGACCATTTAAAGTTAACCGCATTGGAACTGGACGAATTGGTCAAGTATGATGACAAAAAAAACATACAGCTGGTCGCCCCAGAATGGCTCGGTCAAATCTTTAGGCGTTACTCCAAGCCTATGTTGCTTAACAAATTGAGAGTATCGAATGAAGAAGAATTTACCAAAGTAAACTCCGAAAAAGATTACAACAATGCAATATATGCGTTGAAAATGAAAGCAGATAACGTCGAGAAATACGTGAATGGTTTGGAAAAACACAAAAAACTCTATCACGGCATTATTGAGAATTCGTTTTTTTCTTACAAAGACATGTTTTTGGACGAACCGAAATGCGACATTATATCGCATAACAGATATGGTAAATTAACTTGTTGTAATGTACTAATATAATTAGGATATTGGTGAAAATGCTTTTAGCTTATTTCACAAAAATAATCATTTTTTTTGTTACTTTTTTATCAACATTTTTTGAAAACCTAATAATTATAATTATAAGTTTTAGACCTACTTAAATTCAGGCAAATTTTCTTTTCTTTACCTCGTTTCATTCGTGTTTAATAGACCAGTTACAATTTTTATCTTTGTACTTTTATTGATCACTGTTACTTTTTGTCCTTACCACACCACCCACACTCCCTATCTTGAGTGAACAACCGTTAAGTTTTATATTTTATTAGTTACGTCTTAATTTAAATGCCATGGTATTACATTTATATCAACCCTTAATAATTTCTTATTTTATTTTTAGCGTATAGCATACTTGTGAAAAACAAACCTATAGTTGGATGATTAAGTTTATTTGGATACACACTACAATATTTTCAACAGTTAGGAGTTAACCTTCTTTGAATGTTAATAATTTATATTATGTTTTAACAGTTTTAAAAATGTATGAAAATTCAAAATACTATTATATTAAATACAACATATATTTTAATTCATTATTTTATTTTATGCACTTGTAAGGGTTGTTGGGTGAATTTTTTTTTGAAAATAAATATTATACGAAAAAAATGTATTCCACGAACAGTATTTTTAATGTTGGGACCTTGGTCAAACAAAGTAAAAAAAGTTATATCCGAATAAAAATTATTCTAAAATAATATGGATTCGAATTTTAAACAGAAAAAACATTTTTTTTTTTAAGTGTGTTTTAAACAAAAACAAGATTGAGCAGTGTGTGCACTTTGTGAAATCAAATTTCCAAAACGATGACAATATTTAAAAAAGTTATATCCGAATAAAAATGATTTCAATGTTATGTCAGGAATGGGCAAAAAACAAGATATTATTTTAAAGATAGAAAATAGTCCTTAATGAGCCCCGAAGACTTCAGATAATAAGAAGTAGTCAAAATCGGTTGATGATTGGTAGGAACACGGTGGGGGGTACCGATTCTGTTAGATTCGTTTATGAACTTATGCTTGAATTTAGACATTTTCGGGAAAGAAAATATAAAAATTTATTAGAAATCAAAAGACGATAAACTTTATATTAAAAATAATATGGATTCAAATTTTAAACAGAATAAAATATTTTTTTTTTTTTATGTGGGATTTAAACAAAAAACAAGACTGAGCAGCGTGTGCACACAATGTAAACAAGTTTCCAAAACGATGATAATGTTTTTAAAGTTTAGGTAAAATACAATCTGCGAATACAAATAATAGCTAAATATGAGTTCCTTGCAACAATAGACCGATGACGCAAGTGTTAAATGTACATATTTATGGGGAACTGGTATTATTATAGCAATATATGTATCCAATACAGTCTTCTCATACTTCTCATATTGAGAATTCGTTTTTTTCTTACAAAGACATGTTTTTGGACGAACCGAAATGCGACATTATATCGCATAACAGATATGGTAAATTAACTTGTTGTAATGTACTAATATAATTAGGATATTAGTGAAAATGCTTTTAGCTTATTTCACAAAAATAATCATTTTTTTTGTTATTTTTTTATCAACATTTTTTGAAAACCTAATAATTATAATTATAAATTTTAGACCTACTTAAATTCAGGCAAATTTTCTTTTCTTTACCTCGTTTCATTCCTGTTTAATAGACCAATTACAATTTATATCTTTGTACTTTGATTGATCACTATTACTTTTAGTCCTTACCACACCACCCACACTCCCTATCTTGAGTGAACAACCGTTAAGTTTTATATTTTATTAGTTAAGTCTTAATTTAAATGCCATGGTATTACATTTATATCAACCCTTAATAATTTCTTATTTTATTTTTAGCGTATAGCATACTTGTGAAAAACAAACCTATAGTTGGATGATTAAGTTTATTTGGATACACATTACAATATTTTCAACAGTTAGGAGTTAACCTACTTTAAATGTTAATAATTTATACTATGTTTTAACAGTTTTAAAAATGTATGAAAATTTAAAATACTATACTATACTATACTATACTATACTATACTATACTACTAAAATAATATGGATTCAAATTTTAAACAGAATAAAATATTTTTTTTTTTTATGTGGGATTTAAACAAAAAACAAGACTGAGCAGCGTGTGCACACTGTGTAAACAAATTTCCAAAACGATGATAATATTTTTAAATATTAGGTAAAATACAATTTGCGCATATATTTGCTAAATATGAGTTACTTGCAGCAATGTACCGATGACGCAAGTGTTAAATGTACATATTTACGAGGAACTGATATTATTATAGCAATATATGTATCCAGTACAGTCTTCTCATACATTGTGGACGAATTTTTATTAAACACTTACAATGATATTCCGTTATGAATTTTCAAACATCTTTCCATAAAATCTTTAAAAAATTGTTGAGAATTTGAGTAATAAAAATATAGATTGGTTAATAGCTTAATGAGTCTTTATCTTAATAGGTCTTAATATCCAAATATTCAAGTTTTAGTACTATAAAGTACAGCGACTTTATAACAACATGGTATTCGCTGGTAGTTTTAAATTGCTGAATATAAATAGACAAAAAAGTCTAACTAATGTAGACAATTTGATAGCAGTATTAGCCGCCCTTAGTGCACAGCCTACAATAACACTGAGAGCTGTTTCAAGTACCTAACATACTAAAAAAATCTTTCTTAAAGGGTCTTCCTTAAAAAGGAGGCTTATAAAAGCCCCATAAATGATTTACACTTTAAAAAATAAAATAAAAAATGTATGTTCCAGGAATACTGGACTCAATTTGAAAAAAGGTGATGAAGTAAAAAAACGGTATCTCTTTGTTTGGATACAAACAACATTTTGAGCGTTTATTTTAAAATTAAATGTATATTATATTATTATTTTTTGATAATAATTATAAATCTTATTGTTGAATTAATTTTCACATATTACTTTAACTAATAAAATCTATGATAACAATTATGCACAATCATTGGCGGTAACAGCTATAATCTGTTATCTGCATTAATTCGGCAATGTGTTTACAAATAAAAAATAAAAATTGTCAAAAATATATGTTGTAAAGCTGTTACATGAGTATCACGGTTATGGTTACTGTGGTCAAATCGCTATTCAACAGATATGATACAACATTATTTACGGTCAAGTCCGTGTTTTGTCCGCACTGCGCAAGTATGTATGAATAGTTAGATAAAAACTGCTTATCTGGTTATTGATGGTTATATACTTTTTACGAATAAGGGATGTATTTAAAAATATTAAAAATATAGTACAATATGTACCTAAAAGTATTGGAAAGAATATTGGTCAAAATATTAATATCTTCCGAGAAAATGAGTCTTATCCTTAATGAGTCACCCTGTATACAGTGTAATTTAGTAGGATAAACATTTTCTGGGAACATACGAATATTTTGATGAATGTTTTTTTTTTCCATTTTTTTATATGCATATTGTTTTATATTTTTGATGGCTCTTTTAATATTGATTTTATAAACTTTAGAGCTCAATTGAATTTTATGTTTTCAGCTAACACAATTGTTTTTCTAGAATAATGCGCTATTGTGGTTTCGAGTTGACGTACCTATGTAAGAATCAAGTAAACTATGCTTCAATAAAAATGGTGTTTTTTAAATATTGTCTACTTTTGATATTACATTTGAAACTCATGTGCAGATGTGCAAATAACGCCAAGTCCTCAATTTTTAAAAATTGAAAAAATGTATACATGATTTTTCTTGTGGAAAAAACGGAAAACTATCCTGTTTTTTAAAAATTTCAAGTTTTACAAATAATTTTTTCAGCCGTTTTTATGACTGTGGTCGTTATTTCGACCTTTCAATGATATTTCACCTTTTTGTTTTTCCAAGCGTTTATACGAAGAACCCTATTTGAAGTTTACACATTTTGTGTAAAGTTATATCGGCTTTTTGAAAAAAAATATTTTAAAAATTCTCAAATTTTGGCAACATGAAAATACCAACTTATTAGATACTATACTCAATTTTATTTACTTCTGTAACTTAAAAAAAATTATAAAATGTAGTGCGTATATTATAAGTCATGGTATACGATTTCTAAAGAACTTGTTATTGTAATAGGTTTACAGCAGATGTTTTTTTAGTATTTATTTTCAAACTTTAGTTCTGTACTACGTTATAACTAATAATATTAATAATAATTAACAATAAATTTATACATAAATGTGTTTATATATAAACTATATATAAAAACATGATTTATTATTTACATAATATAAATGTGTTTATAATAGGAAAAATAATAATATAAATATATAAGTATCTTATATTATTCAAGTATTTTATCATATTAATTTAAACTGAGGTGCTATATTTACAAATTATCATCAAAGCGTTTATTTGAAAGTGATTTTATCACTTTAATTTATAATAGTTTTTTCAGATTATGATTAGATCTCATTATGCCTCGACTCATCTGTCGACGCTTTGATGCTAATTTGTAAACACTGCATCTCATTATAATACTTTCTTATTAAGCTCTTTACACTGTGCTTGGTTTGAACTGTACCGATTGAAAATACTAACTACTGATTCACATCGAACCATTTATTTGAAAGTGATTTTATCATGCCCGTCCTCACTATGTCCCTACTCCTTTGTACTAACTTTATATATTTTATTAAATTATTTAGAATACATTTTTTTGTCTATGTCCTAGATAATCATTTTAACTACTTTTTGTCAATATCTTGCTTTAAATTTTTTTAAACCTTATTTTTTTTTAGCTATCGCATTGAAGTTAAACAATGACTGTTATTGTTTAACATACATTTGTGGACAACAACATATGTTTCAATGCAGCTTTTCTTTGACTTATAGTACTTATTTAAAATAAACAAATTCCCAAAACAACATTTTTAACAGTCAAGTACGTACCGATGCAAAAAATAACTCCAATATTTGTTATCCAATACAGTTACAATATTTTTGTTTAACGTGGTATAATACTTCTGTTTGTTGTTACTGGTCAACAAAACGAAAAAAATAAGTATCGCTTCGTTTCGAACTGTGTCAGTATAGTTTATGTTGAAGGTTCTCTAAGTTATAACTTGTTTTGTTATTCATTTCATAGTAATTTTAATTCAAACTACTTCATTACCATGATATTGTACAAGAGTTTGGTTTTATTCGTTCTTCTCAATTCATTTGTCCGACCGGAAACTATTACCGGAAAACTTTGCAGCTATTCCAGGTATATTTTCTTTGATTTGTATTTAGATGGAACTTATTATTTGTGTTTTAAGTTAACCAATTGAAATGCAAATTCGGTTATAGTGATAGAAAAAACTGAGGTACGTGTATAACACTAAACCTCCATGATATTATTATTCAAGAGTTTAGATTAGTTGTTTTCTTTAGTTTATTTGTTACGACTGAAATAATAAATCATTTTTTTTTTAGGTACATGTTTTTTGTATTCAAATTACATGAACATAATATCTATTTGAGACCCAAAATTTCCATAGAAAATTCTACAACTTTGGAAGAACTTAAAATGTATAGTGATTCGTTACGAGCTCATGGCCAGATCGTTTTGGCGATTCTCGATGACCTGATGACAGATAATAACCAAATATCATACGATCGACCTGAGGACATGATGGGTATTAATTTATACTTAAACAACCTGTCAAATACATTACTGGTACGAACCTACGGCTGGAATAAATTCACTATACCGTTGGAGAGTAATGGTCAAGTACAAATTTTTAAAAAAGAATTCAAGGAGGCCAATACAAGAATAATTGATTATTTAATGAAAAGTATTAAAACGAATTGCACGTTATTGCAGAAAGACATTTCAGATTCTGATTATATGTCACGCTACTCGGGTATGATAGAAAAAGGTCACTATAAACTGCACAATTTGTTGCCAAAAGACGGTTATTTTGGTTCCACCTACAGGGAACGCCAGTGGAACAATGCACTAATGAAAGATTACCAAGATAGCCTTTTGGAGATGGAGTATTTGATGCAGCCGATTTTGAACGGAGAAACGTACATGCAATATAAACCGAAACAAATTTTATTCCACGATGTGTTGTTCAAAAATTGTATCGACCTAGATGACTTGTACAAAGAATGTGAACACGACGATTTGGAATTGCTGCGAGACGTCCAATGCAACGTAAAAATGGAAGACGGCAGTTATCCCAACATAGAGGTATTGTTTTCGATTGCACAGCGGGTTTTCGACGTCAACTGTATTGAATCGTTCCAACAGCAAGTGCTGGCTGCAACGGCACATCCCATGCTGTCAGTCGTCGGTTCCTACGTGTCTTTGGTCAAACATATATTCTACACGGGAGACGGAAAGTTTCAAGACGTCGCCACTAGGGCCGAGTTGTTCGAAGAGACAATCAGCGACTTGGGCGATTCTATACTGACCACGCTGGTCGGTTTCATACGTTTAGGTCTTTGTCCGGAAAGAGTATTGGACCATTTAAAGTTAACCGCACTGGAACTGGACAAGTTGGTCAAGTATGATGACAAAAAAAACATACAGCTGGTCGCCCCGGAATTGCTCGGTCGAATCTTTAGGCGTTACTCCAAGCCTATGTCGGTTAACAAATTGAGAGTATCGAATGAAGAAGAATTTACCGAAGTAAACTCCGAAAAAGATTACAACAATGCAATATATGCGTTGAAAATGAAAGCAGATAACGTCGAGAAATACGTGAACGGTTTGGAAAAACACAAAAAACTCTATCACGGCATTATTGAGAATCGGTTTTTTTCTTACGAAAACATGTTTTACGACCAACCGAAATGCGACATTATATCGCATAACAGATATGGTAAATTAACTAGTTGTAACGTACTAATATTATTTTGTTTGTTGGTAAAAACACTTTCAACTTATTTCACAAAAATAATAATTTTTTAGGCTGCAATTTTAGTATTTATAGATCTTCATTACTCAATGTCAATTTTCTTTTCTTTACCTCGTTTCATTCGGGTTTAATGCACCAATTCCAATTTTTATCTCTGCACTTTTATTGATTACCTTTACTTTTAGTCCTTACAACAACACCCACACTCCCAATCCTGAGTTAACAACCGTTAACTTTGATATTTTATTACTAACGGCTTAATTTAAATGTCCAGGTATTATATTTATATCAATCCTTACTAATTTCTTACTTTACTTTCAGCGTATAACATACTTGTGGAGAGCAAACATAAAGTTGAAGTGCACCATCAACCTAATTATCTGGATATTTAAGTTTATTTGAATACACATTATAATATTTTCAACGGTTAGAAATATAATATCTGTTAATGGATGTTTTACGAGTTTTAAAAAATGTATACATATACTATTATATTAAACACAACATATATTTTAATTCATTATTTTATTTTATGCACTTGTAAGTGTTGTTGGGTGTATTTTTTTGAAAATAAATATTACATGAAAAATAATGTATTCTACGAACAGTTTTTTTAATGTTGGTATATTACCTTGGTCAAACATTGTCAAAAAAAATTATATTCGAATAAAAATTATTGCAATGTTATGTCAGGAATGGGCAAAAAACAAGATATTATTTTAAAGATAGAAAACAGTCCTTAATGGGCCCGAAGACTTCAGATAATATGAAGTTAGCAAAATGTGTTGATTATTGGTTGGAATACGAAAGAGGGGGTACTGATTCTGCTAGACGTTAAATGTAGATATTTATGGGGAACTGCTATAACTATATTAGTATAGTCATTGTGGACGCATTTTTATTAAACACTTACGACGATATTCCGTTTTGAATTTTCAATTATGCTTCCATTAAAACTATAGACAATTGTATGGTCTACAACTTTTTTGATAGAACGTTCATTTAAAAATGTTACATAAAATTGTTATGTTAAAATGAGTAATAAAATATTTACAATAACCCTTATTCAGTATCGTACATTAGGGGAAAGGATTTTGTGGTGTTTACAAAGCGTATATTTGAAAGTGACATTAATACTTTTATTTATAATAATTCCTTTAGATTATGACTAGATCCAATTATGCCTCGACCCCACTGTATTGGCTTACTCGGATAAAATCACATTCAAATAAACGCTTTGATAATTTGTAAACACTGCACCTCACTTTGATAATTTTTGACTGAGCTGGTTTCTAGTGTGCTTGTTTAGGACTGTACTGTCTAAGAAGACTAACTACTGATTCACATCGAAGCGTTTATTTGAAAGTGATTTTATTCTCCCCGTCTTCAATATGTTTCTACCCCAATGAACTGACTTTATATATGTTATTCGATTAGTTATAATACATTTTTTTTTCGTATATTCCCTAGATAATATTTTTGGCTACTTTTTGTCTATATCTACCTTTAAATTCGCTGGGTTGATTTAATTTATCAGTAATTCTGCAAATCAATAATAATTTTGTTTAGTTTGCACTTTAGAGAAGAGGGTCTGTAGTTGAAAATAGTTCTTTTCGCAAACAGTGTGAATAACATTGGAACGGTACTAATATAATATTATTAGTTTTTGTATTAGATGGTATTTTGCAAAAAAAATTTATAACCATTTAAATTCTGCATCTGAAATTTCGCTGAATTTTATTTTTTACACCTCAATTATAATATATGCGATAAAATATTACAACAAAACTGGTTTTGCCCCTTATTTCGATAAATATTTTTTAAAGCACAATAAAAAAAAATTATACCGTGATTATAATACGTTCCAAAGTAAGAAAAGAAATATGAAATTATTCAAGAAAATAAAACCAATAATTTAATCCATATTATCTTTCAAACGGTATTTAATGAATATAGAACAGAACAAAGTGCTGTGGGGTCAGGGCATAGTTATGAGAAGTTTATTTTGAGTTATGGTCTTAAAAGTTTAGTCTTGATCCAATTAATACATTTCCACACGAAAAAAAGTTAATTTTTTTCACCCTTTAAAAAAAAGCATGTCGATACAAAGTCACCAGCAATTCTGTGTGACTTTGGACAGACATGTTATTTGAAAGATAAACCGCTCATTTAAATAAAATATTCCAGATTAGGAATTATATTTTGATTTCGACTATAAAATAAAATATAGCAGTATACAAGTTAATTATTCATAACAAAACCGTTGTCAAACAAATTAAAACCGCAGCTTGGGCGTTAGAAGTTTTCTATTTTCAATAAAAATGTAACGCAGTGTAAATAATAGTTACCATTGGTTTGCTTCGGTCCAACTACACTCACATGATTGCCAAACACGGTCTGATCAATAATCACAGACTTTATAACGGTCTTTGTGCGATCTGACAGTGTAGCCAACCGGGAAAAACAAAATATCCCCAATTTGTCCAGAGTCACCCGAAATTACGGTTTGTTCCATTACGGATTAACTTCAACGCTTTATGTTTTATTTTTGAAAGTGATTAGTTCACTTTCTGTTATAATACAATTCCTGTACACCCGTGCCCTGATGTCCTGGCATTTTTTTTAACTTGTTTCCCAATGCTTTCGACAATACATCACGCGATTGCCGGTCGTCCGTCACGTTGCCGGTAAAGCCCGGTGGTGGAACACGTGACGTGATATGTATTAATGTCGTTTGGCTTTTGTGGTCAGCCCGGCCCCGAGGGTAAACCAGCAACCAGCACACATGTTATCCGACATAGTAATATTGGACGGGCTCGGCGATTCTTCGACGATAATCATTTATCTTATTGCCGCCACCGCCACGTGTGTGTGTTGCCGTTTTACCGGAATTCCCAAACGCCAAAATGGTTTTTGTTTTTATTTTTTCATTGAATTTTTTTACCCCCGTCGGTCGTCTCGTAAATATCGCAAACCCCTCATTTGTAAACGACTCCCGAAAACGGAATTCGACGGCGACGCGGGTCATAACTTTGCCTTTGCACAGCTCCGACCGTTTTACACCGAATCCTTTTAACCGTCGGCAATCGTTCAACGGCGGTGCTTCTCTGGCAAAACCGCGCACGTGTCGCTAGTTATTTATTTAGAGTTCAATATGGGATGAACTGGCATAACGGCAGACATACCGTAGTAGTTTGGCACTAGCCCTTCTTTAAACCCACCGTTTGTACACGGTAGTATTATGTTCGAAACGAGCAAAGTTACTTTGTTTTTAGTTCAATACCACGTTTACATGCTATTATTCGCAATTTTGAAAAAAGTGGAGTTAATCGGTTTGGCATCTGAGTGCCTCAATTAATAGTGTCGTATCATTTTTTAAGATTCCCTCAATAAAAAAGTTTCAGCGCAGATTTTTAAGATTTTTTTTGTTAATTAAACGGTAATTGTATACCATTTTACTAACTTATTAAGTTTTGAATGATCAATTAAATATTTTAACTGATCGAATGGGAAGTACAATACAATACTCGAATGAGCCAACAAAACCCCTTTCAATAAAAATTACAAAATCACCATTATTTTCACGTTAAATTGTTATAAGTTAATAGATGAACCCTGTATAAATGAAAGAAAAATCAAGTCAAGGCGATATTGTACTTAGCTTTCATTTCTATTACTTGGGTGCACACGATTAGAGTCTATTGGCTAAATTTTTTTTTTCTTACAAACTAATCTATCTTTTTAATTATAATAGCTGTTGATCTTTTACAAAGGTCACTTGGTAAAAAAAAATGTATTTAACGATGGTCGATAAAGGGTTAAGTTAGGCCACCATAATCAAATCAGACTATATGGAATTTTTCCATTTTCTGCCCCTGTTGTTGTTTTCCACCTCTAAAAAAAAAAAGAAAAATCCTCTATCTTTTGTTTTGAGTTCAACCGCGATTTTAAGGTCCGCACCAACTTTACACACAAAACTTACCGGAGTTCCCTTTGGGTAGACTGGGTGGACTTTTGCGAATAACATATCATTATTGTGATACAAAAACAAAAACCTATTGCGACCATTCGCATACGTATAGGCGCTCTAATGGGACGCAAGAACAATAACGGGAGAGTCCTGCATTAAGAGTCCCGGGGATGTAGCTCGGGGTCCAAACCGCAGACCGGACGTTTGGCTTTGTTAGCACTCCGGTAATGATTACTATACTTGCTGTTGTTTGAGAAAATAAAAAATGTCTCGCTGCACAGAGTATAGGTACACTATTCAGAGTAGTCAGTAACAATGTAGTAAACTGTAAAGAGACCAGCACGAGTGCACAACGTGGCCGGCGGTCAAACTAATCTGCATTCGGAAAAACCGAAATTAAAAAGAAATCTCCGGTTTTACAGTTAAAGCAGTCGTTATTATTATTTTTATTTTCTATTTCAGGGATTTACTTATTGTGCTTTGTTTTGAATTGTGTTTGTTTGTATATGCGACGCCCGAGTATATTATTATTATTATAATAGTAGTCCGAACTCTCCCCTCCTATTGTTGTGTAAAATCTTTCAAACAAAAAACATTTTTTCCATTTTCATTGTGATAATTTAATGTATGTGTACATTTTATTTGTTCTACTTACTGCTAGAGTACATCTGTCTTCAACGCCATTGTTATCGTTCGACAAAATTTGTATTTTTTTTTTAACATTCATTCATATATTTTTTTTTAAATCCAGAAGTACTAAAAAGTAAGCTTATTGGTAAATTACAATTTCTTTCTCTATTTAGTCCACTAAGAATAATATAAAATTGTAATTTATGGTTAAATATTTTATCTACTATTTAAAGCAAATGGTGTTGAAGTTGTGTCACAATTATTGTTATTTTAAATCAGAATCAGTGTAACATAACATTCAAAGTTTGTATTCAAAGTTATTACTTTGATTAAGCAACTATTGATGTTAATATTACTCCGGGTTAAATAAAACGAGATGGTTCATTTCATTATTTACTGAAACAGCTGAAACCCTCCTCAACTCGGTGTGACCACATTCTAGAAATGAAATTATTGTACCAAACATGTTTTACTATAAACTGTTATCAAATAATGTGTATAATACGATTATAAATTTATTAAATCAGTGATGCTCAGTTCTGAAACAATAATTTTTCATAAAGATTTTTTTTCAACTCTTTGAGTTGAGGAGGTTTTGGTTTGTTTAGATTTTCACCAGTTACGTTACATGGGAAATGTGTTATATCTTTATTCAGGCATGTTCGGATTTTAAAAATATCACTGAATCCTAAGAAACTAGTAGTTATTTTTTGTAAAATATCTATAATATTTTTAGTATGTTTCGAATTTTTCTTTATAATTTTAATTGCATGGTAGATTGTTTCCTAAAAGGTATACAAAAAGTATGATAAATTATTTAGCGGTTCTGCTAAAAGAAAAATTTTAAAAACTATACAAACTGTAATTATTTTTAAATTGGTCGTCCTGTAGGTTTTATTTATTCTATCACGTTCAGACTAAATAATTTCCAAAGACCAAGATCTGCCTTGATCCCACACTAGCCACTATACTCCTGGACGAATATTCCCCCACGTGCTTGTTTTTTTATTTTTTTTTATTGCAATTGTATTTAATGGATGTTCGCAAAAAAGTAATCGAAAAACTATTCTTTAATATTTTATACGCCCTATCGTCCAGGGAATTTCGAAAACGAACGCGGCTATAAACTGCCTTTGGAAAATTGAATTATTAATTGGAAATTTAATCGGACGGTTTAATCGAAATCCGAAAATCCTATTAAATTCGGCCGACTGCCGGCATGGACGGTTATAATTTATTTGACCAATACAGCACCAAAAACTGAATTAACTCGAGATACAAAATATTGGGGAAATTATATCAACAAAAACATTAAAGATAATATTTTTGTTTAAAATTTTCTAAAACCATTTTTTTTTAAATTAATACAAAATATAAACATGCTTACATGTATACGTAATTAAAAAAATAATACCCACTTTCGTTTCTACGGGTCTTGGTGAGCAAAAAAAAATTACACCAAGGCAACTTTAGAGTGATTCTTGTCAAGTTAAGATTAGGGTTAGGGTACCGTGCTCCACTTGGAGTAGTCAGTCAGTGGGATTAACTGACATAAGGGTAGATTTTAGGGAAAATGCGCTTTTCATCAGAAAACAGAATATGGTATGTGTGAAAATATCATAAAAAAACGCGTTTGAAAATAAAAATAAGTGTTTATTTCAAATTCGTTGCCTATGCAATGGTCGTGCGTGAATCCGTGCTTCGTTGCAGAGCTACAGCTCTGGTTTAAACTTGTTGAACAATTTGCCGACGTAACGATACAAGTCCGGAACGTGGGCGTAGAACAATCCGGTGGTGCTAAAATTATGAGGAAAAAATGTTTATTTATAATATAATTAAACATTAGCAGATCCGGAGAAAGTTTAGCCAAGTTTTGCACCTCGAAGACATGTGATGGCCGAACACCACTCGACCGTCGTCGGTTGTCGTTCCGTGGGCGTTGCAAGTCTTACTGATGGCGTTGTCGTTGTCCTCGTCGACTTCCAGTAAGTTCACTTGGTCGTCCGATACGATTTCGCCGATTTGCTTACAAGGTTTGGCCAACAGTTTGTTGTCTATGGACGCGGCGAAGTATAGCACCGAAGATCCGTGGGAGCAGAAATTTTCGTTTACATACGGTTTGTCCAACAGGCGTTTTACTGAAACCGTGTGGCAATTTTAAACAATGTGTCCCAACAAAATATTGACATATTGATATGTTATCTCTTATCACATATATCTTATCACCTACCTCTTATCATTTACCTCTTATCTCTAATATCTTATCATTAACTGAAAGTAAAAGTGTAACGCGAAAATGGCGACACGCAATTATTTCTTGTATCCAATCCAATAACTTATCCGTGTTAAGACAGCCAGCACAGTGGGGTAGTTAATATAACTAGAAGCGATCAAATCACTTTCAAATAGACACTATAAGATGCGAAATTATTACACGGTGATATTTTATCAACGATAAGACACTCAATTTCTCTTAAATTAATCGCAGTTTTGTAGTTTTTCTTCTTGGAAGACAATTTAGTTTATTTTTTATTACATTAATATACAAAATGCAAATCTTTATCTTTGTTTTTCAGAGCTCTATCATATTTTAAAGCCTATACGTAACGAATGTATTTAGTTAGCTTATTTAATTAAAAATTTGATAAAAATGTTGGCTGGCCGATAACCAGCTTTGGATAATTACATTCGGTGTCAATAGTGCTTAAAATTTAGGGCGTTAAGTTAGATCAAAATGATACTTAAACTTCACCCTTCCTCCCGTTCTTTATTTTAATTTTTAATGGCTCAAAAAGTAATTATCCTAAACTAGTTATCGTCCAGTCAACATTTTTATCAAATTCTTAATTTAATTCAATATATATGTTACCATTAAAGTATTCCAAAATTATATATAGCTGTTGAAATAATTTACTAAAAAAGGTAGATATTTAGCAGTTTAACATAAACAAAAATGATTTTGAAAAGAAAAACTACTGAACTGCTATTATTTAAAGAAATAATGGATGGCTTATACTTAATGGACCACCCTGTAGATGGTAAAAATTGTTCAAATATAATAATCACTTCTATTAACAAGAAATGTGTGTATATGTTAGTTTTTAGTTTAATAGATACTTTTTTTATTTATAAAATATTAATTATATGCCTGTTTCCGCTAAACGATGGTAATTTTATACTTGATGTATTATAAACCTGAGAAGTTGTTTTGCATAGACAAAGACGACGAATTTAATCCGAATGGAGAGCCGAAATATACTTTAAGAAATGAGATATACTTTAAGAGTGTGAATGAACACAGAGATGACTGGGGATAGAGGACAATGAAGGGAGAGAAATTCCAAGGTGGGGTTAAACTCGTTTGGGTAAGACAATCCAGATAACTTTGAACCTTTTGCAGTTTCGGACATTACACAAACTAACGGAATTTACCTTCTGTCTGATTTGCGATGCAACTGGGTTGAGTGACGCCGTTGTTCATGTAAAAATCAGCCGTTCCCATTGGTTTGATGTACCCGTAATAGCCAATGTTGCTGTGAATCACATCGACGACTTCGGCGCTGTCCGGATGTATTTGTGGATCGTTTTTGAACGACGGTCCGGCCGGATCCAATGCTTGAAAAAATGATCAAAATCAAAACTGTTATTATTACGATTACAAGAAATACTACATTGTTTCTATAGTTTAAGGGTTGGTTTACCGGTCACTCTGTACAGATGACGTCCGGTGGCTTTTTTGTACAAAGTTCCTACCTTGCCGGCTATTTGGCCGCCTAAACTGATGCCAATGATGTGAACACGTTTGATTTCGGGTCGCTTGTTTAAGATTTTTTTGATGAAATCAACAATTTTCTGGGAAACCTTCGGCAAGTCGCAGTAGACGGCTTTTGCATATCTTATCGCAAGTGTAACCACGTTGGAACCGATAATTTTCCCGTTCAGTTTGGAGTAATCGACCAAAATCAAATTGTGATCATCAGTTCCGTTGACATAACCTGCAGAACATATTGTTATAATATTCAATAACAATAATTCCATTAAAATTTACGCGAATTTCAGAATTACCAAAACTAAATCGAGTTACAATATATTTGTGATGAAGTACCGAAGATATAATACTAAAAGTATTAGCCATTCTTGAATTTCTTGTTGCCGTTTTACGGTAAGTAAAATAATGCAATTATTTTATTAGTAAAAAGTTCTAACGACAATACGATAAATCACATTCACAGTGCGACATGTGACATATGAGATTTCCAAATGTTAAGGCTCAAGGGATGTAGTCCCTACACGGGGAAGCAATAAGAAACGTGCCTTTGGCTTTCGAATCAAACGAAACAAACGTCTAAGGACCCACTGCTGTCTTATCGTGTTAATGCCTTACAGCCTTGGTGAATTCTTTTACTGAAAACAATGGATTACCAAGGCGACCAAGTTAATGCTCGGATCGCTCTTTTTTTAATAGTATTTTCTCTTATTTATAACAAAAAGGTAAATCCGAACATTTGTGAAAACAAATATTAGCGCAAAAACAATAATTGTTTGAAAATAATAATTTATTTAACAAAGACATCTTGCAAAAAAAAAGTGTAATGCGGTTTTTGTCCATAATATAATTATGCGCTTAAAGACATACCTTATTTTTATTTTTAAATAAAAATAAGTTTAAATTATTTTTTTTAATAAAGTTGTGTTAGTAAAAAATGTTTGAGTTTTGTTACAAAGAGAAGGCGAAGCTCTTGAATCGATAAAGTATAGATGTATGTATGTTTTGTATATTTTTAACTGGTCAATAGACAATTTGAGGTTAATTAAAATCCTTATTTAACAAAATTGACCAAACATCAGCTCGGCAATTACAATCATCCCATTTGTATTGAAATGCATTTAAAACTCTATCGCTCATTTTATTTTCAAAATCAAACAAGTACGTTCACAGCTAGACAAAGAAAACTGTCGAAGAAAAACGATAGGACAAAGTGGGAGATAAGAGGAAATCGTTCGATGCTTAAGACAGAGCAACGATCCAATGTCTTTCTGAGTTAGGAGGAAATAATTGTGAAGGAGTTTTTACATGGATATCTGGTATTGCCCTGGATAAAAGATAGAGATAAGAGATAAATTATAAATGATAAGATTCAAGTGATAAGAGATAACATGTCCATGATTCAATGTTTTTTCTGTGGAGCGGAGAAAATAACTATAGGTTTTTATTCTATACTATTATCTTATTCTTCTTTTCTTTTTTTTTTTTGTAGTGCATTGCTAATGTACACATACCTTTTCTTATTGCCAATGCGCCGATATCGTCGTAGGACCCACCGTATCCGTGAACGTACAGGACCACGGTATCGGTATCCGCGAGTTTCGCCTTTTCGACCGAATGATCTTGTAACGACAGTCTCGTAGTGGTCGTTCTGGAATATTATAAGGCACAATATTTGGGCGCTATTTTTACAGGTAATATACAACAGCAGGTACACATTACTTACCTACACGAGGTACACAACGATATTATACGGTCACTTACTTGGTGTACAGTGTGTAAAATATTGCACTCGTGTCCGTCGGCGGCAACAGCAGACATGTCGGGTGTGCGGCCAAAGACAACGCGGTAAGGAAATACAATGTGAAAACGGTGGAGATCATTTTCGGCTATATCGGGTTACACTTGACGGCATATTGGTCGATTAGAGCTGTTATACCTGTCAGCTATGGGACCAAACGAAAAATGAACCCGACACCAACGAAAACGCGCGTAAGTACGAATATCATTTAGATTCAACACATATCTAAAACGCGTCCAAGTCCTCGACGATAACGACGACGAGGGCCACCGGAGAGATGGCAAGTACGTGTGGCCTTATATAGGTAGATACCAATAAAATGTAATAATATTATGTACGATTGATCATCCGTCGGGTTTTTATTTTTATATATTAATTGCTCGAGTATTTGCTACTCGAAAGTCTAATCAAAATTTCATCTTCAAATTTGATCAAGTTGGCCACACTGTTTTGATTTAAATTTGCGGGAAGTCGGATTTATGATAACGCTATAATCGAATAATAATTGATAACATGGTCCTAACGTTATTGAACCGTTTATTTATGAAAGGGGTTAACTGATAAGTCACAATTTTGTTAGAAATTACTTTTTTCCATAAATATTATGCTCTGTGGCTGTGTGCGGATCGTTTACTTTTGAAATGAGTCAAATTCGTATGATAGTTTTTTTTTTTTTTGGTGATTCAAACATTTAGTTGAACTAAATTTAATTGTGAAGTCAGGAAAAATGTGCCTATTAATGAATTATATATTTTAATAGTCATAATAAAATATATTGGCAAAATAGTTTTGATTTACATCACTATGTTGCACGCAATCCCGTTTATGATTTAGTAATTTTATTTATTAAAGGAGTTAAGTAACTGGTGTGCTTATTGAAAGTGCGAATTCGTTCAATTAAAACTCTTACTATTGGTTAAAAATAAACGTTTAAAAATTGGGGTACACAAATTTAAGTATAAATAAATGCATTAGAATTAAAAATACTTATTTTAAAATGGCTTATTTGGAACTAAATATTATACCAGATTACGAAAAAATCACAGATGTTACGTGTATGATGAAGTGGTCTTTTTTTTATTTCATACAAATTTTGGTTTAGATAAATTTTCTTTTACCTTTTTTTTTTAATGGTCTTCCATGCAATCTTTTTTTTTTTTTGACGTTTTAGACCAAAGATCCTGATAACATATCGACTACTTAGGATGGTCTGATTTCAATTATGTAAAAATATACAAGTTCTTTGGCAACTTTACTAGGTTGTATCGGAAACAGATTTTTTAATTTTTGCTTTTTAATTATATAACAATTTTGGGTTTTAATATTAAAAAAAATTTCAAATTTAATTATAAGACACTGACATTTTTAAACAGAAATCGGCTTCCTACATAACATAGTAAAGTATAGCCAAAAATTCGAATCTCTTTACAGAATTAAAATTGGGCTATCCTATTTAGTCGAAATTTTGTCCGGCCTTATGGTCTAAAATAAACCGAAATGGCTTTTATTCGTAGAAAAAATGAGTTAAATACCTTGAAGCTTATAAAAATTAACAGGTAAATTAATTGACACGGTTGAAATTTATGAAAACCCTTTTTTCCCCTAAATATTGCCCATACAAAACTCTTTAAAAAAACAGACCGCATGTATTGTACCTTAAGCTGTAATATTTCGGCAAGTTTAGGCACGTTAAAGTGATCATCAAGCGTTCGGCCGTTCAAGTTTGGGGGGGGGGGGTGGCCTCCGTTGAGTTTTGTTTGCGAAACGGATAATAAATAACCACCGGCAGCTTACCGGGATACTCATGACTCTAAGCCTTGCGGCTTCCGGTATTTCCGCCATGCCCCGTACATGCGGGTACCTATTGGCCGGAACAACGACCACAGAGCAATTCATTTGGCCCGTCGAGTCTACTACCAACCCCCAGCGACACACCTGTTTTCATTAGACAAATAGTTGTTCGGAAATTATGGTTTAACTCGACGCCACGGTGACACAACAGAGAAGGGAACCCGGCCAAAACTAAAGGGTTAACCGGGGTAGGACACATAATTATTCACAAGCCTATCGCATTTATATTATCATAATACCAATCAGTCGGCCGGTACACTTTGCAATGCGTTAAGCGCATTCGGCCGGAAATCAACACACAATACGGCCTAACAGCTGTATTTAGAGTAATTTTGGATTTTTTTTTTTTTTGTAAGATGTAAGTGTGTTAATACTAGGTAACAAATGACTCGAACCGACCGAACCTTTAGTTGATACGGTTCTGTTGGTGGTAAATTTTATTGAAAGTACATAAGTCTAGCGTGAGCCATAAATACAATAATTCTTTATGGTTTTTTTTTGTTGAAAATGTTGACTAGTTGAAAATTGAAAGAAGAATTTGATAATTGGTAAAAACGTTTTGGAGTAATACTAGAGTTTAATTTATCAGCAGAGTGTTATAAGTGTTGAAAATGTTTTTTTGAATAATAACTCCAAACGAGATTATATTTTATAAAACAGAATTCTTGGCTAGCTTGATACAGTTTATTTAAATTAAATAAAAACATATCATTTTATCATTTTTTCAAATACTAGTAGGTGTATATAATAATTTATAATAGTATATGTATACTATATAATATTATAGTCTAGTTTATAAACGATTAGAACGTTTGGTAAAAACTAAATTAAATTTAAAAATGTGTATATTGTATGTGTATATTTTATCTTTGTTGGACGTCTTGTAAAAAATTAGGCGAAATTACTTTTCTTAACTAGTTAAGTCTGGTCATTTCATACAATATATCTGCCTGCATAGGTGAAGTTTAATATTACTTTTTCGAAGTGAAAAAATTTGACTTAGCTAAATTGAAAGTTATTTGAAAAAGAATTTCCAAGTTAAAAATTACAGTCGACGGATTTTATATTTTTTAAATTCCAAAAAAAAAATATAGATTACTAAATTTATACCTAATAGTATATTTTGAATTAAACGTCGAATATGTCGCTTGTAAAATCACGGACTTAATAATATAAAAGCAACAATAATTTTTGTGTAGATTAATATTTTAATAAATCTTCTGAGAAATTTGTCCTATACTCAACGACGGTATAAGGCATTATGGTTTATAATGCGTTTTGTACATCAAACTGCAATCAACAATGTTGATTTTGTGTTTAGCACACATTCCAGCGGTTCTTACAAAGCCAATCCGACACACTTGAAGCTTTGTGCTCAGCTCGTCAGCTATTCAAATGAGTTAACCGACTCGGCTGCATATTATTATTATTATCTGGATGCAAATCCTTCGGCGGACGAATAGCTGACAAAGCCGTCCGCACTTGTCCGAGGTGGTACTATTGAATTATTAATACTGAGATTTAAATTATAAGATTTATATATATATATATAAATATATGTATATATATATATAGTAATTATTATTTGCCACACAGTCTAGTAAGGGTTGATACCTCCCCCGTGCTCGTCGACCACCTGTGGTACTCTCTAAGAACGACTCCCCGCTTGAACGATAAAATATTATTCAAAAAAGCGTTTAGCGACACCGAATTGAGTTGTAATAAAATAACAAACTATAAAAGCCCCCTCTGACGGTTTAAAATGTAAATTATTGGAGTTGTTGTAATTTTTTTTAAAATTATTATTATTATTATTATTTAAACAGAGCCTACGACCCGTACAGTCGAGTCTCGAGCAAACTATAATAATAATTTTCCGGGTCCGGGACAAAGTTTGAATAACTTAAACATCGTTTTCGAAATTAAAACCGCCTAATTTACGACGGTCTCGGTCCCGTTCCTTGTTGTTATTGTTATTCATATTATTTAAGACGTATGTTTTATGAACCCGGCAAGCGCAGCTTTTGTAAGAAACTTTAATATAATTTCTTTTTTTTTTTTCTTCATGTAACCGTCGTTAAGCGTTTAATATTAAACAGTGAAAACGGACGACCAGGTGCAATTTCCTAAAGTGAACAGTAAATCAAGGTATTTTCTCGGCTGCTTTTTGTAGATAAAAAAAAAAAAGAAAAACAAGTACCAGCCCAGAGAGAGCAAAAGGGATAAAACGCGATACGGGAAAAGTTAATGAATGAATAAATAACGACGGACACGTACTAACCGGATCCCGGAACTACTGCCGAGGCCTAATGTTCAATATATATATATATAAATATAAATAGTATGCCCGCATTTAGCGGATTAGTATCTCTCTTAGGAGCAGTGTAACAGTAAGAAGAAGAAAACCCGTTCCCGGCAACGCTTTCCAGAATAACATCAAGCTTTTTTTTTCTACAAGCGCACCAATCGCGTTTAACACCGCTTCATCCGACTGTCTGATAATATAAACTTTGTACAACGCAGCTGTACCGGTATATTTGTTACTTTTTATGTATATTTTTGAAAAAAATAAAAATAATAAAATTGCCGGGGAGAACCACTCGCTGTACAGTGGTCTGAAACACAATAATATTATTGATCTGGCACACGAGTAATGAACGACTTAAAGGGTTGAATCTTAAGTGCGCATTAAGCATGTTGATTGTCATACTAGCTAATAAGCATGTAAGATCGTCAAAGGACAACCCTTCAAGGCCGTTTCGATATTGATAATATTGTATCGATTATGGCAGCAATAAGAAAACCAGTAGGTGTAGAAAAAAAAACCGATACAATACTTTTACATTGAAAATGTGAAAAATTAGCAACGTGCGCGCATCAAACTTGTGACTTGAGCCATATAATACATTCACAGTAGACGGGAATGCGATATCGGTATTATTAAATTTAAATAAATTATATCTGGATGACGTGGTGGATTCTGTATAATTTTGAACATCAAACACAATTAATCAAACCGGTACTCACTTCTCGGCCACCTGCCGTCAGTAATTGATGGTATTATGCAAATGATGAGTAATTATCGTATGTGCGATGGCTGTTTTGCACTAACGCTCGACCGTGTGTTGCCATGTGACGCCGACAAATGCACATTTCAGATGCAAATTGTACACTCAGACAGCACAGACGGCAAATAGGGGAATAACGCAACCCTTTTGAAAATATAGAAATGGTAGGAAATTAATTGCGATTCGCCCGCATGAGGACTGATGACAATTATTG